GGCACTCGAGGCTAGCAGAAAGGCAGTAATCCAGGGCAGTATGGATGTCTTACAGGTAAAATACTCTGCAGAAACTTACTTTATCTAGTGAATCTTACCTTCTTCAGTACCTTTGGTTACCTTAGACCTAATGAAACTCTCATATCTCCCACATAAGAAAAAAAATGCCTTTTCTCTCTCTTTACTCAAACCCTGAGAAGTGAGAGCTCTTTATTTTGGGATGGGGGAAGTGCGTGCGAAGAAATGTAATAAAAAACCTGTTTCTTTTTCCTTTCCAAATGAAATAGGTTCTGGTATTTCAAACTCCTGTTATTTTCTAATCGAACTCGTGAAGTAATAATATAGGGTGGTAAAAGAAAAGGTCCCGTTGGCCATGAAAGTATTGCTATCTATGTAATCGGTATGACACTGAGTCTTATGCTTGATATGCCTTTTCTGCTTGTGAAAGGCCCCGATTAACTACTCTTATGTAGCACCAGTTGACATTTCATTGAACTTCGATGTTTATTTAGCCTAATATGTTGATTAATGCAGTACAATATAGAACGTGTTAAAGGCTTAATTCCAGTCGTTTTAGTTTTCTTGCTTCCTCATTTCATGGTAACTTTTATTTTTAAATTGCAGAATTTCCGTCAGCTTCTTGATGAAAACTCAGATTTGTTACTGAAGTTGAGAGACTTGATAATTGACTGGGTGCAAGAAGGGTTTCAAAATTTCTTTCGGGCACTTGTTGATCATTTCGTCTTGCTTTCTGGAAAGAGTAATTCAGCCAGTCAAAGTTTAAATATTCCAGGGGGTATATCGGGTGACAAAGTACTTGCTGGACTTGTACTTGTGCTGACTCAATTATCTCTTTTCATCGAACAAAGTGCCGTCCCCAGAATTACTGAGGCAAGCAATCATCCAAACTATATATATATATATATTTATTCTTATTATTATTATTTTTTAAATTAAAAAAAAAAAATTTCTCACATTTATATATATATATATTTATTATTATTATTATTATTTTTTAAATTAAAAAAAAAAAATTTCACACATATTAGCACAATCACTTTTCTTAGGCTCGGGGGTCTTGAATTGACAATGTCTTTAATTTTCCAGGAAATAGCATCTTCTTTTTCTGGTGGTGGGGCTCGAGGCTTTGAATATGGTCCAGCTTTTGTTCCCGCAGAAACTTGTCGCACCTTTCGGTCAGCTGGTGGAAAATTCTTGGATCTTGTAAGCATGCTATATTTAGTTGCTTTCCCTGCTCAATAATTACATTTGAGCACCCGTCATTTACATTATATATGTTGACAAGCTCATACACTACAATTATAAACAAGTTATTAGTATTGTTGATTATAATGTTGCAGCACCCATTTTCCTGTTTTACACAACAGCTGAAAGCATGTCATTGCTTATAGAAAAATCTTAACTATGTTTCGTATTTGTTAAGGTAGCGAAGAGTTCTCTATTCACAAAGTAGTTCCATTTTCATTTTTGTCATTTTAGAAATGCAATCATTCAACTGGAGTCCAGGGTAAATTTACATGTCAAGGGGCAATCCATGTTGAAAAATTTAACAAAATGTCGTGGCAACACAAGTTTTCTGTTCTATTGTTAGAGCAAGCAAATGAAGATTGAAGATTCCAACCTGCAAAATAAAATTCAAGCTGATGGTATCCCATAAACTGACAGCCAAAATTATTTGAGAGCAATCTTTCTCCTATTCATTGTTCCTTGCCTCTTTTCCTGTCATATTCTTCATAATGTTTAACGGTATCCAGTCTCTTCATTTCACGATCTCTGTCATCCTGGAATTCTTTCTTTTAACCACTCTCCCTATCATTTTGACACTTCTTGTTCTCTGTTTTTGATTCATCAAGCTTTTTTAAAGGGACACAATTATGCATCACTTCTGATTTTAAGGAACACAGACTTCTATAGGCACATTAAACTAAAGTTTGATCTGTATATGCACTTTAGGCTGCCATCTGAAGAGCAGTCCAACAGTAAATTTCTATTTATGCAAAATGGTATATCAGTGCAAAGTGGTAATGGTGCTTGACAAAAGATGTGATTATTTCAGTGCAAAGTGGTATGGTGCATGACAAAAAAATGTGATCATTGTTTCAAGAGTTAAATACCAATTCAAACTCGAGTACAAGAAAGTTTGGCATAGTGTGGACACCTTATGAATGCCTTCTTGCCTTCTTTTATCATCATTACTTGTTTTCATCGTTTTATTCCTTTCAGTATATAAAGATGAGAACTCAAAAAATATCAGTTGTCTTGAAGAAGAGGTTTACAGCCCCGAATTGGGTCAAGGTCAGTAATGTTCACATTTTGAATTAATATTTCTCTCCTTCACAAAAAGCTTCAGTTCTAGCAAAGTCTTACAGTTTCCTTGTTTTCACCAATTCTTTTATAGCATAAAGAACCCAGAGAAGTACATATGTTTGTTGATCTGCTTCTTCAAGAGGTAATTTTGTCGTCTTGTTTTTATTTTGTTCTACTTAATAATTATGTTGTTAAATTATTATATTTTTGGTCTGTCTCGTTATATAGTTGGAAGCAATAGGAACTGAGGTGAAACAGATTTTACCCCAAGGCCTTCATCACAAGCATCATCGCACAGACAGCAATGGAAGCACCACTTCCTCGCGCAGCAATCCTTTGAGGGATGATAGACTTGGCCGATCAAATACCCAAAAGGCTAGAAGCCAGCTTCTGGAGACCCATCTTGCAAAATTATTCAAGCAAAAGATGGAAATTTTTACTAAAGTTGAACACACACAGGTTGAGGAAATTCTGATCATGGAGAAATAATATTTGTTCATATCATGACAATAGATAACGAGTTGTTTTCAATTGCAGGGATCTGTTTTAACAACTATTGTGAAACTTTCTTTGAAGAGTTTGCAAGAATTTGTCAGACTCCAGACATTTAATCGAAGTGGGTTCCAACAAATTCAGTTGGATATCCAGTTTCTAAAGACTACATTAAAGGGGATTGCTGAGGATGAGGCTGCTGTAGATTTCTTGCTTGATGAGGTAAGGGGTGTTGAAGTTGAAACAGGATTTCTCTGACTATTCTTTTAATGGAAGACCTGTCGACTAAGTGCATTTGTACAAGTGATTACATTATAATTTAAGGGGTCATAAGATGTGGGTCCTATGTAATCCATGGATAATAAGTGGGAAGTAGCTGTGAATTCTATGAAATGTGCAGATAATGTTTGACCAGAAGTGATTATTAGATAATCACAAAACGTGCATTTATTTTCCAAGTCCTATGCAAATTCTTTTAAGAAAAGTTTTAAGCTAAATGACAAGGGCGTTTAATGGCAAATTTTTCTTAATTGATTTGGCTAGATATTTCACTAAACAACAATTTCTTGAGATTTTGTTCTTATAGTTCCCCTGCAGAATGAGAAAGTGTTAATGTACTTTTATTGAGCAGGTGATCGTTGCCACTGCAGAGCGTTGTTTAGATCCAATTCCTTTAGAACCTCCCATATTGGACAAACTTGTACGAGCAAAGTTAGCAAAGAATTCAGAACAGAGCCCAGTTTCTTGATCAGATAGGTCAGTTTTCTTACTTTTTATTGTTATGTTTTATTTGGAATGCATTTCTTCCCAAGTATCAATAATTCATGGTTATATTTCATAATGGACCTGGAGCTGAAATGCAATCTTGATGAAATGACAGTTTTCTGAAGCTTCGCTCATTGTGCCTCGGTTTCCTTCTTTCATGGTGACCTTCCTGTTCAAGTATTTCTGGTCATTCTCTTGCAATTTTCCTGCAAGGTTCAGTGAGATTTTTTCTTTAGGACTGGTTTGTTATGAGAAAGGGGGGACTAGGAATAAATGGGTGGATTCTTGTTTGTGAAGAGTAATCAATGTGCGGCTTTGCACCACTAGGATTTGCAGACATTGTTCATTGTTGTTACATAGTCTTAATGTGTTGTAATTGGAAATATTATTGCCGTTGAGGATCAGTCAAAACGTCTTATTCCTATCCTTGTGAGTCCAATAATAATATGTTATTTCCTTTACTTGTATTGGACATCTTTACTTTCTTTGTCGGATCTCTAGGAATTCATTTCAATCAAGAATTGGATATATTAACCAAATAAACCTTTTACATCAAAAGTTGAATGATTCGATTGATTGGTATGAAATTTTTTAAAGATGCAATTTTTTCGGTTAGCATATATCTTATTTCAGAATATTTATAGCGTCCTTTTTATGTGAACCCATTTATTCCCCTTTGAAAATTTTCGAATTAATAAATTTGATGCTTTACTTCATCACTGAAGCGATTTGCACTTTCTGGAGTTCTATTATTACCTTTTGTTCTTATGTGTAGTTACTCTTTTTATTGTGGCGTTTGCTTAACTGATTATTTCTTCAATTTGACGGTACACTTTGAATTGATAGGCTTTGTTACATGTTCTCTAATCATTTTTATTCAGTATTGATAGGCAGTACCCCGAATGGCATAGCAAGTATACTGCAGCTGAGGCTCATAAATAAAATGGCCGTATTTCTGTCACGGCACACTTGTTATGTATTCAGCAAAAATTGTGCGAATTGCTTTAGCGATATTCTCTCGAATAAATGATTGGACGAGTTTAGTCATTTTCAGTACCGCTCTAACTGAAAATTTCAGAATTTCGAGAAAAAATATTTGCATTTAGCGTGTGATTTTAACATTGTTTTTTTCATCCAAAACTTTATAAACGTTTCAGCTAATCGGGTTTGCTATTATCCTAACGAGCGCATGGTCATTGTTTTAGTGCACATTTTGCGGATAATGAAGATATTTTTCCCCCCTTTTTCCCCAATTCTATCTGCTAAACTTTCGTTGTTTCACATTTACATCAGTAGAAGGAAAGAATTATGAATACGGCTTTGAATCAATGCTCGATGCTACAAGCCAAGCCACAAAAAAAGGTAAACAAACTCTATTGATGTCGTATTTCAATGTTATTTCCACGTCCAACTTCTTAGTCTTCATCATCAGAGCTCGATTCCTCGGTAGCTGAACTCTGAAACAGAAAAAATGAATGTTTAACCGTGTTCGTTAGTAATTATTATTACTATTTTTTTACTTGCAAGTAATAAAGTTACTTATTTTGACAGTAGAATAATGAATTAAAGTGAGATTGAATTATTTTTTTACTTGCAAGTAATAAAGTTACTTATTTTGACAGTAGAATAATTCATTAAAGTGAGATTGAAGAGAATAACCTGATTATGTTGCCTCAATCCGCTTTGAATTTTGTTGATCAATTGTATCAGCATGTACATTGGGAGAAGTATGCCACTTGCCCTGACAATAAGCAACTGCACAAATATGTGTACAAGTGAATATTAGGACAGTTCACAGCAAAAAGTAGTAATACCATTTTGAATTATGCTACTCAACCACTTTGGATTACACTCTGGATTATCCGACGCCACCTCCTCCCTCACATGGAGGTCGGGTCCCACATCCAATAAATGCGTGGGACCCAACCCCCATGTGAGGGAGGGGGTGAGCCCGAATAACCCAAAGTGTAATTCAAATGATACATATAGCAAGACCTTACCATTTTTGTGTAAAAGATTAGGTACTTACTGTAGGAAGTGAAAATGGGTAATCTCCAGTTTCTCCAGTGAGCACGCCCATCAAATGTCTCATCAGAAGCAGAAATGTGAACTGCAAATATAAATGGCAATTAAGTTCGAAAATGAATCTGACAACAAATACCTAAAGACAATGACTCATGATCAAAAAGTTTCCCTCCCAATAGTTGGCAACATTGACAGCTATAACAATTTGACCTATTAGTGTGCATGCCCAATTCACCGTTAGACTCGATAAGACTTGATAGGAATGATACTCGATAAGACTTGATAGGAATGATAAATGAGGAAAGTAAGCAAATGTTTTTTCTTATGTTTTCATCGTGTTGAGGATTTATGGACCCATTTGATTTTATCATACGGACGGGTTGAGGATCTATGAACGGGTCAAACAGGATCTACGGACCCATTTGATTTTCACATAAACTTGCGTACAAGTTTGGGTGAGGATTATTAGCTGCTTATAAGAACGAGAAAGAAATAAGTATGCTTGATTGAGACCTTAGTTGTGCATTTTAAGTGCTGATCAGCCGACTCATTTTGACATAAAGTCGGAAGTCATTGATATGGATATTTTCAATGTGAAACTAAAAAAATTGCAGTCCATTTGCCGTACAATAATTACACGCTGCGGACCAGATGACAAATGGGTTGATTTCAAACATTGACTCGGTACATTTATATCATTTGAAATGCAAAAAAATGTTAGATGTGTTGTTAAAAAATGATTGGAGGGAAAATTGTTTATTTTTTTAAAATTGTCCAATGATGTGTTGTCACGTGATAAAGTATAAAGAATGATGTACGTGTAGTATGATTGTTTGAAATTTAAGATGAGCCGTGCTAGATGTACACCTTTGGCGTACATCCCGGCTGACACCCCTCTCACGGGGGTGAGGCCCGCGATGATATGATGAAATCAACGATTGAAAAGGCTTCCTTCCATAAAGAAACTTACAATGATAGCCACTGATCTCCAGCTAGTAGCTACACTTGTGTGTGAAGCTGAATTGCATTCTTCGGAATTGTCATCAGTTTCAAGCATCTGTCCTTCACCTCCATTTTCTTCTTCTCGTTCTCTTCTTGGAACTTCTGAACTTCCTCTGTTAACATTACCCAACACACAACGTGAATTATACGTGAAACCAAACAAATGACCTCACGACTCTCTTTTCTTAATCGTGTTTTGTCCTTATCTCTTCCCTCTAAGTAAACATAGTTGATCTTTAATTTATTGAAAACGAGATTTAATTTATCATTATAAATATGAGAAGAAATGAAAGGGTATACATACATTATGATTAATGTCGTATCAACTAACTGGGCCTTCTTGGACGGTGCCGTGTAACCAGGTTCAAATTTCTGTACCATATAGAACGTTACAAAAATTGTCACTTTCGTAAGTATATATATATATAATAATACAAAGTTATAAACTATCGCTTTCCGTTTTATGTATTCAACATTATCCCATCATAGATGAATGAAGACAAAAATTGAAAAATATTGAGTTGAGCGAATAGAAAGTTGCGTGTTCAAATTGTGTGCGGTAGAAATTCCCATATTTGGACCATTTCAGTTTCTAAGAAAAAACAAGTATTTGTGGCTTAACTTAAAAGTAAGGTTTTTAACTAAACAAAGAACATTTGTTTGAAAAAAAAAGTTAACTTTTTGAACTCAACCGATCTTAGGTACAACAAATATGAGTTCAAATTTTACTTATTTCAAATTTGTCCAAAAAAAATTATTTATTTTTAAAACTTACTTACCTACAACTAACAGCATGTTCTCGTTACCATTTTCAAATCGTTTTCTATTTTCGATTTCCAAAAATAGTGAGAACCCACTTTCCTATTTTCGAAACACGTTTTTGAAAACAAGTTAAAAATTTACAAAAAAAAATAATCCAAAACGACAAGTTAAATCTCAAAATGAACACTTAAAACACAAAATTTAAAATGAATTCAAAACTCAAAATATAAAACTGAAATGCAAAGAGAGTATCCTAAATTTTTGAGTTTAACCAAACCTTGTACAATAATAATTTGCAAAAAATACTAGGAATCAGAAAAATAGCTAAGAACTCCGAAGAAATCTCCCAAAATTATTGAACAGGGGAAACTGCAGGGGTGGGGAGAGAGAGAGGGAGACTGAATACAAATCTTGAATAAAACAACATATATTTTTCGAAGGCATGATCAAGAAAATAGATTCAAACCTGTAAACAAATTTCACAAGTTGTGTTTCCCTTTTCATTGCACCATCTCTGTATGCAGTCTCTGTGTGCAAACTGGAAACACAGAAGCCAAAGTAACTCAACAATAAGTGATTAAGTTGAAAAATAAGCAAGAAAATATATGAAGAATCAAGAATTAATGAAATTACCTTGACTGTTCCAGAACAAGCACAAGGAGCTTCCAAATTCTTGGAGGTTTCAAATTCTTGTTCGTGGCATATTCTGCAGATATATATTGGAGCAGAACATAATCGTAAATCATCTATGGATATTACAAAATCTCCCATGCTTTTAGTTTCAAACTGCTTATTTTCGTACTCTCTCTCTCTCTCTCTCTCTCTCTCTCTCTCTCTCTCTCTCTCTATTTGATCAAGTTTGTGATAGGCTCTGGACTTTAAGTATGAGGAAAGATAAAGACTGTTTAAAATTTTAAATATAATTATTAATTGATACAGTGCGGTTGTGTAAGAATTAACATCGGGAAAATAGCAGTAGCGATCCCCAGTTTTTTACTCTTTTCACATTTTCATCTGCAATTTTCAGAATAGAGCATTTTAGTCTCCAACCTTCCACTTTTTCACGTTTTGATAACTGAAGTTCTTATGTGTGTATTGTTCTTGTCGAGTTTAAGTGATATTTGATGTAAAATTTTACCCTTAACACACACTACAAAATCGTGGTTTACTTGGCAACATTGATTTCAAAATTCGACTGCTGAATTGATCTTTTAATCATATCGAATTGCTTAGTTAGCCTTTTGAATTCTCGTATCATATAAGGTCTTAAGATTTCGTCTAAAAATATCAGCACAAGTTTTTACATTTTAACTATTGTTTTTCTTGTTTGAATAAATTGAATTTTTATCTCTAGTAAAAACATATTTTTCATAATGACAAAAAAGCAGTAGAAATACCCAACCCATTATTCGTGTTACATTTTTGTCCTCGATTTTTAGCATTCTAGTCTCAAACCTTTCACATTTTTCACATTGTGAGGGCTATAATGCATTGTTTTAAAAGTTGAGATGAAAATACAAAATGTACAATAAGTTGGAGGACCTCGGCCTCTATTTTCCCATTCGTATTTCACGTGCGAAAAAATTGATCAAGACGCGCTTTAAGGAGCTGGAATACCGAGTCTTTGACCTCGTTAATTAATATAATATAATATTAATCTAATTTATTTATCTTTTAATTTGTTGAATCAAATAATAATTAATTTAATTAGATGAGAAATTACTGAGGTGCGAGCGTAGGATCGAAATTGTTTATTACAATGACTATTTGGAAGAGTCATTGGACAATGGATAAATTCTACGTCGAATAAAGATGAAAATATAAATCAATATATGTAATACATTTTTTAATAAAATTGACATTTTTAGATTGAACTTCAGATATTAATAACTCCAACAAACAATTTGATCTAGTGTCAAGACTCAAAAAATGAGCACAGGAATTTCTAGATTGACTTACTTGAACGAGTCATTATCTTGTAGAGTATGTATATAATAAATTTCACATTGAATAAAGATGGAAAAATAGTTAAATATATAAGGATTTGAACTAGTCATTTTAATAAATTTGATATTTTAAGATGGAACCCCAATTCTTAATAACGTTGAGGTACATTAAGGCGATTATCACTTTTTTAATGTTCTATCCCTTGGATGATATTTTAAGACAATATATTACATGAATTAGCCTTAATTTGTAGAGTTATCGTCTTGCAGAGTATGTATATAATAAGGGTCTGTCTGTCCGAGATTCTTTCAGGGAGAAAATGAATTTTCATACCGTTATTTTCTAAGCTTGGGAGTCCGCAACTCACAATGGGTCAAAGTTGTCATGCCCAACGTTTGTGTTTTCAATTCTCCAATGTTTTGAATTTTAATTTTCAGCGCAAACAGACAAGCCCTAAATTTCACATTGAATAAAGATGGCAAAATAGTTAAATATATAAGGATTGAACTACTCATTTTAATAAATTTGATATTTTAAGATGAAACCTCAATTCTTAATATCGTTGAGGTACATTAAGGCGATTCTCACTTTTTTAATGTTCTATCCCTTGGATGATATTTTAAGACAGTATATTACATGAATTAGCCTTAATTTGTAGAGTCGTGAACAATTTGTCAGCTTAGCTATCCAATTGAATTTCATCAATCAAACTTCGAGCATTGACTCGTCCATTGTCTGAATATTAAATTACAACGAGCTTATTTTGAATGATACTCTACTTACTCTGGTTGCTAGATCTTATTTCCTCTTGTTATCGCAATTAAATGGTTTTAAAAATTAGTTATCGGAGGTGATGTATCATCCTAATCAGGTGCAGAACCAGCCGTTGGAAGTAGAAGGGTCCAAGAATTGAAGATATAGAGATGAAGGGCCCTGGCCCCCGAATTTTTTTTTTTTTTGGGATACCCTATTAACAAAAAAATAAAAATAAAAACGTATAAAAGAAAGTACCAATATTTAATTTAACAAAATCATACCTTATTACGAGTATTCCTTTCGAGTTCTCATACTTTAAAGACGAAAACGAAAAATGAAATTGGTAGGGTTTAAGATTTTTATTCAATTTGAGTACAAGATAGTAATGGTAAATACAAAAAGAACCAAAAATTAAAAAGAAATTGTCAAAAATTGGGACCCGGACCCCCTAGCTCCGCCAGTGATCCTAATCTATTTCATCTATGTACTTGAGGAATAGGGACTAGAGTTTTATTGGCAAATGAAATGATCGGCGTTCGTTACACCAAAACGAGAAAATAAAGTCAAACATACCTTCCAAATTTTGTTTTTGCTGCTAATATTATTTTATTGAAAAATATGTGTTTCAAAAGAAGAAAAATAAAAATGTATTTGAAAAAAATGAAAATCAAACAAAAATTGAGGGCACGTGATCAAATTTATTAGGAAAGAATTTTAGAAAAAAAAAAATAATATTTTATTTCATCATTTTGCCTACGGCAACATTGTGTTATGAACATTCTCTTAAAAAAATATATGAAATTTCTTGCTTTTTGCGTGTTTGAATGTGAGTTGTATGATTGCAGATTAACGGAACGGCTTTACTACCAGAAATTTAAAAAATGTGGGACCCATTTTTCAATCAAATAACATGATGAAACGCGCTCTCGCCGATACTCCAAAAGTTGGATTTTAGCTACATTATGTGGGCCCAGTTAATTGATCGACGGTGATATTTTTTCCCAATTAAAGTCAACTTTAAGCCTTTAAAGGCATGTTCAGGAATTTTATATGTTTTTTTTTTTGGAGGAATAGTACAAAACTCCCCTAAATCACTCAAAGGTTGTGGAATATGTGCTAAAAACAATAAAAATGATCAAACGGCATTGCAGTCTCTTCAAATCCGAACATTCGCTTAAGACCTCATTGTTCGAGAAACTAATTGAGAGTGAAACCAACATGCTATTTGAACGGAAGAACCCCCCACGTTCAACCAAAACGAGGAAAATTGATATTACATAAGTGGGCAGCGCATTGTGGATATAGGTAGTGAATGGTGGAAATTATTTTATGATTCCGTTGCGATGTGACTTAAGAGAATGATGGAAATTAGACTTCTAATTTCTGTTGATGACTAAAAGTGAAGCATAACTTTTAGATCAACTTAAGAGAAAAAAATATATTTTTAGCCAGTGAAATTAGAGCACGGTACACAATAATTTGTATGAAAGAAAGCTATTTTGGAAATGCATTTCAAGGGATTCTTAGCTTTGTCTTAGGAGGAGATCATTGATCCCTATTCATAGGAAGGAAGATCACACCACTTGGCCACCTCATGTCGTTACAGCTATAGTATTGTCCTAAAAATGCGTGCAACTATTAAGAAATTCCCCGCTTTGATTGGTCGTTGAGGTTAGTCGTGTTAGGTTATCACTACACATAGGCTTCAGCTATGGCATTTGGTAATGATGGCTTCACAATAAGTAATCACTGCTTGTCGATAATTGGTTGGAAAAGAAGGGCTGATGTCAAGGTTGTCAAGTGTCGTTAAGGGAATGATTGATGGAAAGGTGTGGTAGTGATTTTGCATCATTGTGTCTCTGCGATTTACGACAATCGTGTTTGCGATCTAATCTTGCTGCTAATATGTCCAACCTTAAGGTTTAGAGTATGCACAATAATTTGAATATTTATTTCGATGATGTGGGAGGTCGCACTCCCAACAAATTCTATTATTATTTGTTTATTGAATGTTAGTGAATATTGTTGTTTCTATTATCGTATAGATATAATGTATTTGATTTCTCATGTAATGTTGTATAAGAAGTGTTCTATTATAACATTAAGTTCTATTTTTCTTATTTCTTCTTGTGTTGATTTTGAATTTTCATGTGAGAACTGAAGAAGAAGAACAGGTCTATTGTTGAAATGTTCGAGTGCAAATCTTGAAAATACTACTTTTTCAAAATTAAATATTACCTAACTGTCAAAATAAATAAATTTTTTTTTGTTTGATGAATACAAATTTATTTACTCATAAGTATACATTTTAAGCTTAGCCAAACGCGATCGATTTAAGAAATTTTAATATCTAAAATTCTGGAAACTATGGCAAAATAAATTATATTCAGATAAGTGAATTACTTTGGTTATGACGTTCAATCCGCACTGTGTCCTTGATAAGAACCCATGTTATTTTAATTTTGATCTACCTTTATTATATTCATCGCATATTTTTATTAAAGTGAGATGTCACCGTCAAATATAGATTTCTGTGCTGTTTTTTAATTTGCGCTCGATTGATATCACGTCAACTAATCAACATGCAATATTCGTTATTATTTTTATCTTTTATCTAACTATTTATTCTTTAATTACTCAACACTCGTGTGTGAAAACGAATCTATCGATATGTAGTTCTTATTTCTTAATAATAATCGAACTCAAATACTTGAAATAATAATCAAAATCGAGCTATTTATTTAGCGACTAAAGTAGTAATAGTAAAAGAAGGCAAGAAAATATAATAGAATACATATAATGGTTAGATTAACGTTAATTTTGATTTATTTAAGATGCAGCAGTTTTGTCATATAAAGCTATTGCAATAATGCGCTGAATTTGGATATTTTTGAGGTGGTGACATAAACATTTGTGCTTATCCTCTTCTACTTCTTATCCTCTCTGAATGGACTGGACACTTATTCAAAGTGTTGATAGGTGACCCAAACTTGCAATTATTAAATAAGTATTGCAATCAATTATATAGATAATGCCTTGATTATTCTGGCATAATCTACCTAGGTATTATCTAGTTTTTTTTTTACACAAGAATGTCATTTGTCAAAAGGTCGTGCTGGCTATGCCTCTACCAATCTTGCATGGCTTATATAGGTATTATCTTTCTTTCTTTCTTTTTACGCAAGGATCAATTGGTTGTGCTTGCCATGCCTTGGCCAATCTAGCATGGCTCACCTAGGTCTCAAGCTGGACCACTTGTAACACAGTCGACGAGACGAGAGGCCATATATAACATTCGTAGTCGCAAATCTTAATAATTACCTTATAAAGGTCGAAATATTTGTGAAATATTAACACAAGAACTCTGCAACATCAACACAATTGGTTGTGCTTGCCATGCCTCGGCCAATCTTGCATGGCTCACCTAGGTCTCGAGCTGGGCCACTTGTAACACAGTCGGCGAGGCTATGTTTGACATTCATCGTCGAAAATCTTAATAATTACCTTATGAAGGGTAGA